TTAGAGTGCATACATTAAGCTCTACATAGTCATTTAGAGCAACTTTCAAACCCTGGACCGCCCACTCTGCCTTCTTCTGCTCCCACAGCCACTGGGATAAATCCAAAACTACCCAGCCAAGCTCAGCAGAGATCTGTCACTCTGAAAGACAACAGAGAGAGCCATGGATTTTCTAACTTTGGTTTGGATGAAACCCCAAGACTCGCTCATCACATCTCGGGGTATTTAGCATTGACTTTAATTAAAAACCTCCCCATGCCAAACCACATGCAGATGCAAACCGACGCCTTCAGCGTCTGCAACGCATCGCCCGAAAAAGCTGCACTGCTCCGCTCACTATGAGGTAGATGCATGAAGTAGGAACCTGCCTGTAAAATTTCCTCTTGTTCTGCAAAGTCTCTCTCTCTCTGCACTGCCCCAATTTACCACGGTGCAAAAAAAACCCCACAGTCAAACAAATATATTCTTGGGAAGGAAGGGGGCCTGGTAGAGTGGTTTTTGAAGGCAGGCCAGAGAAAAACGGGGGACACACAGAGTGTTTTAACTGCTGTGATAATTCTGCATAAAGAGATGTTAAGGCTCTAACTCGTTGCTGTAGCATGCCATGTGTCCCTGAATAAAATTACTGCCATGCAGGCTGTTAGCAGAGGAATGCGTAAACAGACAATGTATCCTTGCATCAGTTCCACAAAATGTTGCACAACACAAATGCCTCTCGATGTGTCATTTCCTGCTTGGCCACCAGCCCAGCTCCTGACAGGCAGTCAACAAAAAAAAAAAAAAAAAAAGAAAAAAGAAATAAAAAAAGAAGAGAAAAGAAAAAGGAAAGAAAAAAAGGATAAAAAATTTAAAAAGACAGGCAAACTGAAAGATTTAAAGCTGCTCTACTCCAAAGCACATTCCACTCGCCTCAGACTTATCCCTCCACCCTCTCCGCCTTTGAAAGAAAAGAGGGAGAACTTCCTAAAAACTGTTATGGTTTTAAGTCAAGGAATCTCAAAAATCTCAATCACTTATCTGCGTTTTATAAGCCGGGTCGGCCAAACAGTTAATGTGGGGGCTGAGCAGAACCCCTGGCTGGCTCTCGCTGCCTTCCGCAGCGTGCACAGACAAAAAGGCGATGTGATGTTTGCTCATACCTTTCATCACGTGTGCACCTTGCAAGCTGCGGCAGCAGAGAAACGCTCCGCAGCTGAATGAAGCAGAGCAGTTTTCTGCCCCGAAATGCTTCAGCTCAAAGCTCAGAGCTGCTTTTCCATTCACAATGATCAAGAAAGTCGGGGTTGGTGACTTTGAAGCCTACCTTTGATTAGAGACAAACTAAAGTCTTTGGAAGTCAGACAAAATATAAAAATATATAGACTTCTCCTCCCTGCTTCCTCATGATTCCCCCATGACTGTGTTTGTCCCAAAAGCAGCCAGAAAGGAGGATGTGCCTCCTATTCTAAAGGTACCACTATGGAAGGGCAAATCATTATCTCTGTAGTTGTAATGAGGTAAGGCAAAGGCATTAAAGGGGGGCTTAGGTAAAGATTTGGGTGGTTTCTTTGCTCTTTTTTTTCTCTCCGTTTACTTCCTTTACAGTAATCTCTGGCTATCTGTCGGTCAGTTATGACCTCATAAAAACTTCTCTGGAAAACTTCTTTCAGCCCTCCCAGCTGGAAGGCAGCTCTGCTGGCTAAGATCTGCATATGGCAGAGGTTTTGTCCTGGTTATGAGGAGAGAAAAATATCTGCAGGATTTCTTAATGATTCCCAAAGATCTTATACAACCCTGTCTCTAGACTGCATCACTAAGAATGCAAAGCATTGTCTCAACCCAGCATAGAAACTGCAACACAGAAGATGTCCCTGGGCAGTAATCTAGATAGACTGGAAGAGGTTAGGTAAAATTAAATAAGTCTTTTTTGAGAAAAAAATCATCAGAAGACCTTTTCTTGTATAGAAACGGGCAAGTTTTCCTAACAGAGCAGCCTGACATCACTGTCTCTATTAAAATATTTTCAAATAATAACAGAGAGGCAAGGCAGCAAGCTTCTACAAGCAGACGTTTAATACGACTAAATGGCACTTACATTTAAGAACCCGACTTTCTGAAGTGCTGAGCATCCAAAACACCAACTGGAGTCCCTGCATGCCACGACTGTTCAGCACTCCTGGAGTCGGGCTCTAAATGTCTATGATGTCTGTCATGGCTTTGCTGCTGCTGTTGCTGCTGGGAACCTTGCAGCTTTCGTTTGCTTGAGTCAACTTGCCAGCTGAAGGTCAGAGTGCCTTGCCTATAAACAAGCCTTACAAATTCACGATCTAAAGCATGATGTCATGTCTTAAAATGATAAGCTGGCAACAAAGTAAATGACATTTTGTAAAGATGTGCATAATTTTATGTTTACACTCCTTAGAATGAAGGTTCTAATAAGTCATTGGTTGTGTTCCTTTAAAGGGAAGTTTTATAACTGAGATGAATCACAACTGCAAAAGATCAAAGTTAAAAAACATCAATGATGCCATGGGGTACTTTTTAATCTTGTAATGAATGATGATCATGTGCTCTTATGAAGTTGCTCCAACTGCCAACGCCAGATGTGTATATTAAGAAAAAAGTTGTTTGTGATGTGACAGCTCTGGTTGAGCTGCCAGAGAGAGGAAAACTAGGATAACATGCTTGAAACGTTGAAGTGAAATACAGATCCTGGCAGAGAGGGGCACTATTTGCTGATACATATTTTTTTAAGACAAACACATTTGCTATCAGAGCTGCTCCTTGAATTCCTTATTGCCCCCAACCACCTATTTTTCCTTATGCCACATAAATACCAGGTACATTCATTGAAGGATTGCTACCAAACTAATGTATCTGCACAAGAGCAGGGTCTCTAAGGAGGAAGCAAAACTTCAGTGAAACTCCCAGAGCTCACTGGAGCTACTTTTTCCCTACAAATTCAAGTTTAATGATGAGCCATTCCAGATATGTATGAATGCTTTCAGAATTACTTCAAAGGATAAAATTTCAGTATTCTACCAAAACATTAAAGTACAAATAGACACTCAATCTCAAAATCTACTTTAAAAAAACGGGGGTGCCAGCTGGGGATTTAGATTGGAAGAAGGACACAATAAGACACAGTAACTCCATGTAGGCCATAAGAATTCAGTTACTGAGCATTTCTAGGCTCAGCTATTAGACACCAGCAAATGGGTATCCACATAGAGAAGCCTCTCGGGTCTAAAGTAAAAAATTTCAGCAGAACTAGGAGATCTTGTTAAGTTCTATGAACACAGACTCGCTTTCAATCCACAGATCACCAAAACATCCCCATGCCAGCAGGATCCCTTTCTGTGCTGCACAGGGTAATCCACACTACTCTCCACACATCACTTTTGAACCTCTCTGCTCTTTCACCACAGTTGTGTCCTCTGCCAGGAGATTTCCTCTTTTGCAGATGCATCAATACATGGGAGCAGCCTCCAGATGGGAATGGCTAAATGATATATAACTTACTGCCTGATTTTTACTCCATGAATGCAATCCCAGTGTCCTCCAAGTAAGTTACATGGAGCACCAGCTGCAAGTGAAAATTAAAAATGGGAACTGACTCACAGAGAGAAGACAAAATAAAAATCCCCCTGCTGTGACATCAGGACACCTCAGCTGTGAGCAGGTAGCACCACAAATATGTACCTAATGAAACGTATCCAGAGCTATTAGCTTTTTCTTAGCTGTTCTTCAAGGTGAAACTCTACAGCCTGGACAGTTCTTAGAGGGAGCATTTCAGTTCCCACCTCAGTGTAAGAGGAGGTGACTCTGCAGCGTGTATTGGCACGAGAAACACTTAACTGCATGAATTCTGTCTACATCTTTCTACTTCTGTCTTTGTGGTATTTTAAACAAAACACCATGAAAGCTCCTTGAAGGTCGTGTTTGTATGTGCAGATCAAAGGCAAAATAATTATTTGAGATGCTTCCATTATAGGGATTCTTTTAATGTGGTTATTCATCAAATAATTCTTAATCTCTAAGTGTAATTTAAATAATGCTATACCTGGCTAATCCAATCAATTTAGAGTCATTTCTAGTTAGATTAAGGAAAAAACTCCCAAACTGGCTCATCAGTGATACCCATATGATGTGAGACTGGTTACCAGCTACATGTGCTAGACAGAGAGACAGCCAGATAAATCCTGATGGATTAAGCAGACTTGACTGTATCTAAAAATAAGTGCTACCCATAAAACTGCTAGGACATGACAAAACACAATTGTCATAAAAGTACAGCCATTGCAAAATAGATAAATCATGGCAAATAGATTCTTAGTGAGCTTGCATGGCTATGAGATAAATGTGCTGGATGAAAATCTGCTGGACTATGTTTTAAAAATATATATTTTCTGTGCATAAATAAGAAACAAAGACCATGCTGTTGATATAATGCTTTTTTTTATCTTTCTTTGGCCCCTGGGGGTCTATGATGAGTCCATAGCTGAAAACCAACTTTAGGTATGATGAGATTAACCAGGTGCATTAATTATCTGATGGCAAAAGAATTTAAGGGCAAACAAAAAGGCACTATATTACATGTTTCCTCTCTATGCTAGAACTGATCCTGAAAGATCAGTCTTCTGTTTTGTTCTAAACTTTTTCAGCTGGAAGCTTACAGGAGTTCAGGAAATGCAGCACGTTGCAGGATTGTATCTACTGTGTCTAAATCAGATTATATATAAATACACTAGGTTTAGTTCTCATTTACACTGGCAGATAATGTATCAAGACCTTGATGTGAATGAGAATCAGGTTTGGGATTGCCCAAATTCAGCCAAGCACTTAAGTGAATGTTTAATGCAAGTATGTGTGTGGTCCAATAGACTCCAAATTAACCATGCACTCACATATTTTGCTGAGTAAAAACCAGTGTTTGACAAAGATATACATGTTTCATTTACAGGTTTCTGTTAAGCAAAATTAAGCAGGCATAAGAGCAAAAAGAAGGATATAATACTCACTTCTTGGCTCTCTTGGCCCATCCACTGTAACCTTTATAGCTCTGTGGTATGTAGCGACTTGGGGGGGATTTGTCAGGACAGTTATTGTCAAAGTAAAGCTCTTCCCTACAAAGGGAAAAAAACAACAAGGAATGAGTGATTACAACATGAAAACAGTCACATGCATGTTCAGTAAAGAATCAGTTTAAAATTATTCCCTGTCGTTACCACAATCGTGAAAATTAAAAACATAACTGACCATAGGAGTTTTCCTCCCCTTCAGTTTTACTCTATGTCAAGAATACGTCCATGTGTTGACAATCTAAATGTTTCTTATTTAATAATGGGTCATCATACAATGACAGAACAAAAGTGATTCACTGCTGAGGACAAGCCAAATTCTTTGCTGCATTGAAAGTGGTGTAAATCCAAAGCAAGTCAGATAATTTAAAAATTTACTCCAGTTTCGCAGCTGTGTGACAGAGAGCAGAATGTGACCACATGTTATTTACTTCACATAGTTTTATCATTTCATTTGTTTGACTTGACTACAATAAGATGAGGAAAGAATATATTTTCCTTCTGGGAGATGTTTTAACAGGGAGGCAGTGTCTCTGTCCTTCATATGCCAGGGCTAATAGGATGATATCATTATTATGGAACACGCCTTTTTTCCCTACACATATTCCATCTATGAAATACCAAGAAAGCCCCCAACTTTCCTGCAAGGGTGAGCAATGTCTGTGTGCACGTACTTTGCTATCGTCAGTCTTCATTGTTGTTTCTATTTTGTTGGTTTGTTGGTTTTTTTTTTTTTTTTTTTTTTTTTAAAGGTTTAGTTGTTGTTTCTATTTTGTTGGTTTTGTTTTTTTTTTTTTTTTACTTTTCAAAGCTTGAATTCAGGCAGAGATTGCACAAGACCATCTACAGCCTTCAGCTGAATGAAAACGTTAAAAAGAAATAAATAAAGGGAGCTGCCTGCATCTGAGCACACATTCTCACAGGCGCTGGCCCCCGTTTGGGAGACTCACTGACAGTTGTAATCTGTTAGATATGCAACGGTTACTCATGTCAGATAGTCAAAACTGAAAACTGTTTCAAGACAGGAAAAGGTGGGCGTACAACAGTGACTCAATAAAACAGTCAGCAATCTTTGGCCTTCATGCTCATTTAAGCTGCTACTTTACCAGACACTTAAAGCTTTTTTTTTTTTTCCCTTTTCCCCCTCCTCCCTGGGTGTATTTGTGCATTTTTGCTGCTAGGGCTTTTCCTCTCGCTGAACTCTGAAGGCATTCAATCAAGGCACAAATCTTAAACGATATGTAACAGCACAAACTTAATGCAGTTTTTTTCAGTACTAATATAGAACAGCTTCTATATAAGGCATAATACAGAACAGAGCTTTGTCTGTCAAATCTAGTAATTGGTCTTTCTTTCTGGTCCAAGTCGTATATCCCCCAAACCTGCCTGAGACATGCATCATTTATTATCAGGAGTGCAACTTCAAACTGTCTTGGCTATAATTTTCATGAACTAGAATGTGACATGGATTTTTTTTTTAAAGGAAATACAACTGTCATTTAGAATAAAATTATTTTCCAGGTGAAGCTGTGCTCCAGCTGTGCCCAGCTCTCTGGGAGATCCAGGTTAGAGGGAAGGTCAGAACCCTGGCAAATAGAATTACAGAATGGTTTGGGTTGGAAGGGACCTTAAAAATTATCTTCTCCCAATCCCCCTGCCATGGACAGGGACACCTTCCACTAGACAAGGTTTCTCCAAGTGCCATCCAAGCCTGTCTTAAACACTTTCAGAGATGAAGCATCCAGAGCTCCTCTGGGCAACCTGTGCCAGTGAGTCACCACCCTCACTATTTCTTCTTAATATCCAATTTTAACCTGCCCTCTGTCAGTTTAAGCATGCAAAAATCTCAGGACGCTGAATTCTGTCCCACTGGCATGGCTGAAGGTAGCTTTTCCCATTTTCACTGTAAAAAGGATTATTTCCTAAATCATCACAGGACCAGAGTTAGGTATATTTTGGATGTCCATCTTTGTCCAGTCCTGCCCACCTGCTGTGCCAGAGATGAACTGTGTTTCCGGTCAGCACAGGGTGTGGGCAGCCTTCACACACACAGCAGCAGCCCTGCAGTGCCTCCACACTGCTTGTTCGGGGCTGAGAAGTGTCCGTGCCTTTTATCCCTCTCCAAAAAGGAATTCAGCCCACTGCACAAATATATATAGTTCTCTGGGCTCAGGTTTAAGGCTTCCTTTGGCACCAGCTTACCATGCCAAAAAGTTGTGGCTATTAAATTGTATGCTGATGACATTCAGATCACAGTAACCCTTAGATGGTCAGTAGAATATTACTGGTAACAAAGATACTAAGGGGGCTGTTCCATACACCTTTGAATGAAGAATTTGGCTTTCCATGCTTTTGTTCTCTTTACAAAACAAATCCTCATAAATGTCTATTATGACAAAAAAATTAACTCAACAAAATATACTATTTGTAAGAACCTGCAAAATCATTCTGTAGAAATGCACTGCAATATTTTCTACACTACATATATCTCAACAGGATACAGTGGCTAGAAAAAAATGCATTCCTTAATAAAAAGAGCTACATTTGGACCTTGACAGTGAGAATTTCTGAACTGTCACCTTTGGGCCTGCCTGAGCTGAAGAGGTAAGCAGCTCATTTGAGAGGGAAATTGGTTTTGTCCCCTAACTGGTATTTTACAAACCAAAGTGTGGATGAAGTAACACTGATGAAGCCCCCTCACACTCCATAAACCACAGAGCCCTTCATTGTGGGGAGTTGCACGGCCCTGCCAGGGCACTCCAGAGCTTTCAAGAAATGATTTACATATTACAGGATTAAGAATGAAATAAATTTTTAAGGTCCCCCGTTCCAGTGATGCTGATGCCTTCCACAGCTATTTCACAGCTATCCCTCCTCAGCTACAAAATCCTTTAATGCACTTTTTATCACCTTTCTTTATTGCCCTTAGTCATTTCAACTATCCACTTTCACAGGCTACAGACTAATTGTAGCTCTCTTTTATTAAATTCCCCAGCCAAGCAGTCATCTGGCACTACTGCTTCAGTGTGTCTAAACTGTGCATTCTTTGTTATTCACACATGTGAGCCGAGCTGACAGAGAGGAGGATGAGATGGACATATGCTGAAGCACAAGGCAAACCCCAGAAAGGAGCTTAAAAGGAGACTCGGCAGCTTGTGTGTGCGTGTTGCACATTTTTTCAGTTAGATGCTAATGTGATTAAAGTATCGGGACACAACAAAATTAAGGTTATGATCCTTTCCTTATTGAAGACAGGAATTCTTTCTTCTCTGTGCTGTGGATCGGGCTTGTAAAAGTGAGCTACCGCCTGAAAACCACATACAAACAACTGCTGCATTTGCATCAAACACTCCAGTTACTTACTCTCATGAATCCAAAAAAGGTGTTTAAGAGAAATTATGCAAACAGAAACGTGAAGCTTCTGTCAGGCAAACAAAATGAATATGTATAAAAATCGGGTTTCTCCATTGAGCCATGGGAAGCAAGTAAAAACGTGGGAGAGGAGGTGAAGTGGTAAGTTGATGATTCAGACTTCACAATCAAATTTAGAGATACAGAGATCAAAGCACAAGCTGCTTAGAAAGATGTAAATCTCAAGTCAGGAACAGGTGTGGATTAGTTTCTTGCCACCGAAAAATAACTTCTTTATTAGTTTATTTTTTTCTGTTCTACTTCAGGACTTGTATTTACTGATATTTGTCTATGTAAGGAGCTTTCTCACTTCTGTTTGCAACTACTGATTTCTTTTCCTTCTATTTTAAGCAGAGTTCTAAAATTCATCATCAATGATAACTCTCCTTCTCTCCTTCTCTCTCTCTCTCTCTCTCTCTCTCTCTCCCCCTCTCTCTGTTCTAAGTCTGGAAGACAAGTCTGGACCAATTTCTCCATCCTGCCTCTGGCAGGAGAATGCAGCATTTCAGATCCTCCACCGAGTCCCGGCTGCTTCAAAGGAAAAGCCCTACTTTCTTCCGTTAAGATCATAAGAAATATAGGGGGAGGGGGTCAGCTCTGTTTGGACATAATTACACTTCATCAAAAGAAGCTTTCTTCATCTTCCATGCGTGAAAAGTCTGCAAGCAGTTAAGTCTGTCTTTTTTCTTCCTTTTTTTTTTTTTTTTATTTTTTTTTTTTTTTTTTAAATATAAAAATTGCTACTTGGGAAACTAGCCAAAACTCAGAAAGCCAATATAGTAAAACAGTGCACACCCTTTGTTTTTCTTTGAAGTCTCTTAAATAAATATGTTGAGGGTTTGAAAAGTATACTATCACTTTTCCATAGATTCTACCCAGATTGATCAGAGAAAAAGTCTATTCCAAGTCTGCTAGATAAAAATATAAATTAAACTACTGGAACCAAATTTTAGGAGCTCTCTGTGTCTGTATCTGCATCTACTGAGGCTTTAGGCTGTCTATTTCATTTCCTATGCTTTAATAAAAAATACATATCATAGGTTTGAAATTAAATCCTCAGATCAGAGGTAGTGCATCACATTTCAGTCCTTTTTCAGCACTACTAAAAGGCTGATATACTACTGAACTTCTACTGTAAAGCAGTAGAGATGGAGCCAGAGAACTTTCAAACCTAATCCATCAGCAGAGTAACAAAGGAAACTGATTATTTAAAGAAGACAAATGGAAGAGATAGGCAACACCTCATTCACAGGGGGAGTAAACTCCATATTTATGTTGTATTACTGTTTCAATTTATTCTCTATTATTAATACTTTTTAAGTTCTAAAATGATAAAGAGAATTTTTGGTTAGTTAATTAAAATAAAGAATAGTTACTGTAAGTTATGCTTATGGACTCACTTTTACAAAGCACTTGTAGAAATGTGCTGACTGATTTGGACTAACTGGGCCTCTGTCATATGTTTAAATTTTTTTTTGGACAAAAACTCTTTCCTTCTGTAAGATGAACTGCAACTGCTTTCTAAAGAATATCACTGTAAAATTTGCCTTATTGCTAATTTCCCAGCACAATTATTCTGCATCTTTTGCTTTGTTTTGCCCCATGTAGGGCTAATTTAAAAAAAAAAAAAATTACTTCAAACACATAATAGAAAAAAATATGTAGGTTGGATCAATGTCTGACACAACACTACTCGGAAGACTCCTGCAACAAGAACTGCAGGGCCAGCTTCTTTTGAGCTATCCTTTCAATCATTACCTGAAGTTTGAAAGCTCCTGTGCGACCCTGAAAGAGGAATTCTTGCAAATTTGCAATGATTACAAGAGCTTTCTATAAGTGCAGTGCAGTTTTCAGATTATAGGAAACTCCTAAAGAGCTGGAAGACAATGACAGCACTCTACATCTTAAAAAAAAAAAAAAAAAAAACCAAAAAAAAAAAAAAAAAAAAAAAAAAGAAGAATGAAAAAAATTGAAAGTTACCCTGTCATTTAAAGTAAAGGTTGAATTTAGTTCATGCCCAAGCTTACCAGCAATTCATAAAAAGTAAACCAGCTTACTCAAAAGAAAAGTGGGGCTGATTTTCACAGGTTATCAACAGTTTGGTTTAAAGGGCAGAGAAGTCACTAGCAAGCTTTCTACCAACAGCTGCTATGCCTTGAAAGATTTAAGTCCCTAAAGAATACAACCTATGGAACATGTGATATGCAAAATCCCCCTAATTACAGGTCTTCTACAACAACTTCAGAAGTGGCTCCACTGCTAAAGGGAATTCTCCACCTCTCACTGCCATGGCCCAAAATACACTCCCCTGACTCTGCATGACCTGGATCACAGATATTCCCTTTTCCTTTCACCCTCCCTGTGTGATTCAAACAGGGAAGCAGGTACTCCCTGAATCCTTTTTCAAAACCTCTGTCTGATAAAAAGCTATAGAGACTCCTAACTTGGTTTGTGCAAATGCTAAAGTTTGACAATAAAATATGTGTATATCACTACAAAGAAAAAGACTGACAACCTGAAAAACATGGTCTAGTGGAAGGTGTCCCTGCTTATGGCAAGGGGCTGGAATGAGATGAGCTTTAAGGTCCCTTACAAACCAAACTTTTCTGTGATTCTATGAATCTATGAATGGATTTATGGGTTAACCAGTATTTCATTGTGATTAAGTTTGACATCTCGGCGCCATTTTTCACCCCATTATGAACACGTAAAAGGCAGAGGCCTACCTCTTCCACTTCTGCCCACAAATCGTAAGTCATTAAATCTGGCCACCTGGTTCTTCATCACGGCAGAAGCGTTTCGCAGCTCTGCAGAGTAGTTCTCATCGTTTCCAGCCATGACGGTCACCACCGTCCCATCGGGCACTTCTCCTAAGGCCACCACCTGTGAAAACGGGGACACAATCACGACTGGTGAAGCCACGCTTTGGAGGCGTGTGCTCCCCTCCCCGCTCTGCAGGCTGCCACGCTGGTGAAGAAGCTCTGTGGTGAGGAGTCTGCTACTCGCTGTGCACAGAACAAAGTGCCACATCAAACACAGAGACGTCGTGTGTTGTCTCCGTTTCTCAGAGTTTCTTCATTGTTGCATTTCTTCAGAAACGCTCACCATCCTTACGCTGAGTGCACGCTTTAATGCTTTCTGAAGGACAACTTTGTTCTTAGCAAGCAGGCAGCAGCGAGAGAACATGAGGCAAGGCTTGTATCTGTAAATTATGCATGGGAAGCATTTAAAATGGAAAGCTAGAAATTAGTATTAGCAGCCTAATCACCTAGATTCAGTTTTGTTCTGGTTGCACCCATCACCCTGACCCCTGAGCTCCTCAGACTTCAAGCCAGAGGGATCTGTGCATCTACCCATCCCAGGAGTGGCACTCGGAGCACCAGCAGGCAAAGCTCTACGCCCAACATGATCTACAATGGAGCACTTTATGGCTGGAATTCAAACTCCTCATGTGCTGTATAAAACAAACCTGTATTTCCTTGCAGGCATGTAAATTTTCATAGTGCTTGCAAGAGTCGCATGTGGTTAGTGCTGATACCTCCCTCAAATTCCAGGATGGGTGAACAGAAGATATCAAAGTATTTCAATTCTCCTTACGTTCCAGCTACCTGATAGTCTCCCTTTCATGCTTCAGTGGTTGTGCAGTGCTCCAACATCTGATTAAATAAATGTCATGGAGCAGACAGCTTCTGATTTGAAAACACCAGGAATACCTACAGTGTTAGTGCTCTGTGGCTTCTTAAAGAAAAAAAAAAAAAAAAACTTTGTTTTTTAAAAAAAAAAAAAAAAAAAAAAAAAAAAAAGTTACACAAGAATGCTACATTACTAGGAAGAAAATATACACACAGGGGAAAAATGTCCACAAAAGTATAGCCTTATTTTCCCCAGCTGGCTAATTCTGATGCTGAAATTAAATTTATAACAAGAAGAGATTCAGAAATATTGCATAGCTGAGCCAGAACTTGAAAAAATATCTTAAGCTACAAAGTACCAATTTGCATGGTCAGATATAATTTTTTATATTATTCGGAGTAATTTATTCTGTCTCCTGTAATATATATTACATTTTATCACACGGCCTTCCTGAAATGTCTTTTCCATAAATGATCCTGGCTGAAACTAATAATTGCAGGTTGCAGGTGATATTAATTCAGTGGAAAGAATAAGGAGTTCTGGATATATAGGGAGAGCATTATGTGGTCCAGTGAACTGTACAATGTTTCTCTAAAACAATAAAGAGGAATTATAATAATATAGAAATAGGCCATATTACTGAAGACTATAGCTTATTTTATTTAAAACAAATATTGAAGAGAAAGAAGCAAGTGAAGCTTAAACACTGTTTGAAAAGAATTTACCTGATTTTCTATTTTTGCATAAAACATCAGTTAATACCACCCAAAATTAAAAGCTAAAATTCGCCACAAACTACTGTGAGGTCTTCATGTATCAAACAAAGATTTTACTTTAAAGTCCCATGAAAGTCCCTGAACAAAGGAACCATCACCGTGGCTAAGATCTGAGGACCCAATAACTCTCTCCCTTGAGTGTGGCAGCAACCAGGTCTAACAGCTTCAAAGCCAGGTGTAAGGAATAATAAATAATAATCAAATAACAAATAATAATCTGGTGAGCAGATCACAGAGCTGACTCTAACCATTAACAAATGGATACTGGCTTAAACTGTGAAGCATGGGGCTTGAGACTACTTATAAACCACTCCCTTCCCAATCTGCAACAGACTGCGTTATCTCTGGACAGTCTTGTCATGCCCATCAGCATCCCAGGGAGTTGCACCCTACGCCTTTTACACCTCACAAAACAACAACAAAAAATCGCATTAACTCCAAAAATGCAAAGCACCTGAGAGTGCAGCAGGAAGCACAAGGCTGCCTGGGAAGAGGGAGCGAGGTGCCTGAAGCCTCAGCTCACCTCTTTCTCCCCAGGCACCCGCAGAGCGTGGACAGGCAGTGCCATCATAGCCCCGTCTCAGTCCCAAACCCAGGTACGGCTTATAATACCTGGCAGGAGGGAGCAAAATTCCTTAAAAGGCTCCCCTCTGTCCTCAGTTGCTTTTCAGAGCTTTCCTTCCTGCCCTTTCCATTCGGTGTCAGTTCAATTTGTCAGTTCAGCCACCAGCCTAACATGCAGCCAGAGCTGCACGTGCCGCTGCTGTCGCCGAGCGATCGCAACTAATCAAGAGGTGCATTATTACTGAGAAGCCTTGAATGCAGTATCACTGCTCATCTCCTTCAGACAGGACCAAAGGATAAGACAAACTGAAGTCAGAGATGAAAATAAAAACTTTGGCTCCTAAAATAAAGCCCTATAACATAGGAAGCTCCCCTGCCAAGCAACAGGAGTAAAAGGCACTCTTTTTTCTAACTTTGATACTTTCTTCCCGCAGACCAGCCTAAGACTGTTGCACAGGTACGTAGAAGCGCTGGTAGAAAAAAGCTTTACAAAACAAGTATGAAACGTGGAGAAGTACCCGTCATTTTGAGAGTTTTCAAAAGTAATTGTACAAACTGAATGACTGTTGGCATAAACCCTGATTTGGCAATATTACGCCATGTATCAATACAAAATTAATTACATTTTCTTAGAAAGAGGATTGTAAATGTGCTGTGAAGTGAGAAAGGATTGTGTTAAAAATTAAAGACTAGAAGTAGCCACAGTGCACATTCCTTACCTATCCTTTAACACTCAATATCTCTACTATTTCAAAATCTTTGTATTCCCTATTAAGCTCCCTAGACATTTTGATGATTAAAAGTAGATTTTGCTTTTTTTTTTTTTTTTTCCTTTTCCTTTCAACTAGAGCTCAAAAAAGTACATGAATCCCCAAAATAAAACCAAAGCAATTCTTATGAGTTGAAAATAACTATGTGTTTTTTGCATAACACAATTCTGGTTAGGCAACCTGTTTGCCCAGTTTCGGTCCAGTGGGATTTGAACTGGCCAAAGTATGTAGCCTGAAGACGGAAGTTATAAGCACAAAGCAAAACTCCTATACAACACCAGGTACTCAGACTTTCTGCAGAGTAAAATGCTTGTCTGAAAAAAAAAAAAAAGGCCAACACTAGTGTACATGCTAACGAGTTCCTCTAAAACATTGATATCTGCCACTTCAAAAGCTTTCTTGTGAAACACTGAATTCAAACAGCCTCTGAATGTAAAATCTTCTGTACTGAGAATGCTTTTCCCAGACATTGCCAAAAGAGCATCTGATACTATTAAAAACATTTCAGTGTCCTGTAACTTAAAACAGAATAACTGATTCCTGCTACTTTTTGTTTCAAATCTACATCTGGGCTGAAAATTTATACAGCAGGTTTCAGCTTGAAGCTATTTAAAACAGCTGAGTTATAAACTCCGAAAATTGGGGTTTGGAGGGAAATGCTGACAGACCCTGAACTACTGTGGTGCTACTGGGGAGATGTTTTAGACTCCATATCCCATTTTCCCCCACGCCTTTACGTCCACTAAGACTCTCTGCTGCTATTAGCATCATACAGAAGTCACATCTAGCCTCTAACGTGGCAATCTGGGTCTTTATGACTTGCACTAAAAACTCCCACAGAGAGGCCAAATTCTGATGACTTGATTCAAATAAAGTATTGCTGGTTACTGAGATTAAGAAGTGAATATGATTTGGACCTGGGTGAACAATATCCATTTGTTTTATGCTGGAATATTAACAGCTAGATATAATAGCTAGTATTAACAGTACTGTATTAACAAGTACTCCTCAAATACTCTTCCCCACAGAACCAGCCTGCATTAACAATCTTCTTAGTGAGCACACGACAAGGACTCCCTCCCCAGTGTGTGCAAATATTAATACTTAAAATTCAAACCCAATGCTAAGCCAACACTATTTCAAAAAATTCTAATCAAACCCAGCACTGTTTATAACATACTTCCTCTCCTGCATATGATTTATATCTGTTTTTTTAAATTAAAACAGTGCTATATCCAGCGTACGTTTTTACTCGAGATCGCTGGGAGAGAATTATGACACACTTAACACACCACTCAAAACATTATCATCAACATATTATTTATTGCCAATAAAACTTCACAAAGTGTGTTGTCTGTGAGCTATTTCATTTTCAAGTTATTGTTTAGCTGGTTTCTATAGCTCAAATCTGTCTCTTTTTTCCCTTTCAGAGATGATTCCCATTCTGTTGTAACACAACCAAGTGCTTCACTGTATGATACATGCAGCTCCCTTGGTCTAAAACTACTGGGCAGCTGCATGCAAGTTGCATTTGAAAAATGAAATAGATTTTTTTTTAAATGGTCAAAAGTATTTCAAGTGAGTTTCAAATTAATTTACAGGTAAAGAAGGGCATATCTAATTTTGGCATATTTTAAAAAGTGCATATTGCATATGAAAACACAGCTGCACCCACAGCAGTCGGGTGCAAGGGGCAACATGTGCCTCTGATGCATCTGAAAATCAGTCAGATCTGCACCTCCACATCAGCAATCAAACACAAGACCCACATGTAAGACACATATAAATACATATATATGAACACAAAAAGACTGGGGAACAGTCTAATCCTTTCTCTACCTTTTTATCACATGTAAGCATTCTTATTGTAATAATATTCAAAATACTTTAATATTTAGTTTAGATCTTTCCCTTATTCTAATAAGATGCGACCGCATCCTTTGAACTGCTGTGAGGTAGGAGAAGGCTCAGACACCTCAAATGAGAACAGCAATGTGAGCGCAATAATGCAACAGCTCCTGCATCCCTGCTTTAAAAAGTAACTATAACACCAACTTAATCTAGCGCTCAATAAAATGATAATCACAATTCTCTGGAAGCTCCTCCTCCTTACCCCGCTGCCCCTCTGAATCAGAATCACCATGATCCACATGTAGAGAGCCTCTGAGTGCTACACCAAGCCGAAAGACACCCCACTTTCCTGCCTTTTCTGCTCAGTCTGACCATCGTGTCCTGCACGAGCAGGCCCTGTGCAAAGGGTTCCTCCTGCAATTCCAGCCTCTCCACGCTGTTCCCACACACAGGAGCACTTTAGCCAAGCCTCATCCGCACACCCGTAACATCTTCAGAGCAAATGTCCATCGTTATCACCACTCACTTTACCAGGGGCTCATTTAATCACTTTGACTATTTCTTCCTGAACAAACGGCCATGATAACACGGCTGGTAGACGGGAAACACAAGGAAAAAATAATGTTCTGGAACGCACTGGGTGAGACTGTTTCCAAACTTTTCTGTCTTTTCAGGGATTTCCAGGTGTGTTATTTTTCACAGGAAAATGTGGGTATGTTAAGACCCTCGCAGGGCTACCCCACCTCACTCTGACCCATGCCCTGCTCAGGAAGGCACCTGGGGACACCCCAGCCATTGCCCCCTCCCTACCAAAAGCCACGGGAAGGAAAACTTCAGGGGGAACACTTGGGAATATTGCTAGAGGAGGAAAAGGGCTTGCTTTAAAGCCCGCAATTATTGTTGTTATTATTACAGGTTTTTTTTTCTAAAATCGTTTCCTCTCATTAGCGCGCCGTGGGGATGGAGACAGAAAATTAAAAGCAGCATCCCCAGTGCAGAGCGGGGTGGGATTTATTATGGAAATGTGCGACCCTGCCAAGGAGAGCCTCTCTGAGCAGCCACTTCCTCGGTTGTCCACCAGGAGAAGTGAAGGGGCCCCGTGTCCCCCCTTCCAGGTGCTCTCTGTCCCCCTTTCCCAGCCCCATCTCTGTCCGGGCTGTTGCGGGGCAAAGCCCCGGTTCCACTCTGCCTCTCCAGCCTGACCCTGAGACTTCAGCTGCCCCCCGCACGCTTCAGAACCACCCCAAATCCTCCAGTCCCATCCCGGGAGCGGAGAGGAGGAAGGGTTACCCCCGTGGGTCAGGGACTGGTTTCTCGAGGTGGAGTGGTGCCACACTGAGCTCCAGCCGAGGGCTGAATCCCTCCTTCCCCAGGGAGGGAAAGCAGGTTTCTCCAGAAAAAAGCCCGTGGATGGAGACTGTGGGGAGCAGGGGGT